ACACACACACACACACACACACACACACACACACACACACACACGCAGGTGGATCTCTGAGGGAATTCCAGGAGAGCCAGGGCTATATAAAGAAACCCAGTCTAGAAAAACAAACAAAACAAAAAAAAAATCAACAACAATAACCGCCCCCCAAACAAACAGAAAAAAAAGACACAAAATAAAAATAAAAGACCATTTTAAACTTATTACATCTAATATTATACCTAAACCTAATTTGGACAGGTGTGTAGAAAAAACAAAACAAAATAAAACAAAACAAAACAAAAAAAAACCCCACTTACTGGAGATTGCTAGCAGACAGCATTTAAAGCTGTACCCAGGCTGTCTTCATTACATCCATCACCTTGTACTTACCACGTCAAACTGTTTCCGGTCCAGGGGCAAAAAGCTTTTCCCATTGGAGAGACAAAAGTTATTGGTCAAGACTGCGGTCTGAAGGCCTCCCGCTCTGATCTGAGAGATGGCCTGTGTCATCACTGGGAATGGCTTGGCCACTGTTTCACTGGTCAGCAGAGAGAAAAATGAATCCACAGGCACGGAAGTCTTTGCCTGGAACAGGGGAGGAGACAGGAGAATCGGCAGGCATTGGAGTGAAGTGCCTCATGGTCTACCGGCAAAACCCCATTCCCAGCATCCTCCAGCTGCCGGGATGGAAGAGGCCAGCATAAGCTGGCTGCCCACGACTTTAGGGTTTCATTTGTATTCTCAGAGTTCTCAGCATGTTGGGCAGACAAGCCCTAAATGCCTGGAGTCAAGTGACTTTCCTTCCTCAGCCTCCCTAGTAACCAAGACAACTGGTATATGCCACTGGCCCTGGCTATCTGTCAATCTTTAAAAACTCATGTAGAAGCTGGGCTTTAATTCAACCCTGGGAGGTGAAGGGGGGGGGCGGTCTCAGCTTTGATGTTAGCAAGGGCGGCAGAGAGACCCCTTCTCACACCCTGCTCAAACAAGAAAACAGAAAAGCAAACTCTTTGGGTTAGAACCAGAGTTAGAAGAGTTAAAATAGCCAGGGATGTATCCCCACTCTGGTCACAAGAGTTTTTCTTTCTACTCTTGGATTACCAGTCAAAAAAGTCAGACCAACAAAAGAGGATACATTAAGCCAGGCAGAGGTGGCCTTTAATCACAGCATTTGGGAGGCCAACCTGGTCTACAGTGTGAGTTCCAGGGCAGCCTAGGCTACAGAGAAATCCTGTCTCCAAACAGAACAAAAAAAAGAGGATACATTAAACTTTAAAGCCTGTTCATCAGATGTCATTTGTAAGTAGTAATCTACTGGATGGTTTTGTGTTGTACTTTGCAACAACCTTATGAACTTTAGTTTCTGAACAATTTTAGGGTCTTTTAAAGATTTTATTTAAGTATTTTATTATATGTGTATGGGTGTTTTGCCTGTACGTATATATATACAGATATGCACCATGTGTTGCCTGGAGCCCTCGGGGCCCAGAAGAGGGTGTTGGAACCCCAGAAGTGGAGTTATAAATGGTTGTGACTATGTGGGTGCTGGGAATTGAACCCAGGTCCTCTGCAAGAGCAGCCAGTGCTCTGAACTGCTGAGCCACCTCTCCAGCTCAATTTTCTTTGTTTTTAAATTCTAATCTGTGTGTGGGGGTTTTGCAAACAATAGGATTCAAAATCTGCAAATGCCAAGTCTCGTGGGCCCAGGTCCATTTTATAATAGCTGTACTGAAATGTAACTAATACAGCCAGTCTGCCGCGGTAAGGTGCGCAGGTCTACAGCTCTTCTTTGTTTTTGAGACAGGTCTCACTATGAAGCTATGGCTGGCCTGGCACTCACAGAGATCCCTCCGCCCTAGCCTCCCCAGAGCTGAGGCGAAAGGTGTGCACCATGCTCAGCTGTTTAATTTTGCTCAATCCTTCTCCCTGAGCCTCCTGAATGTTGGGAATAGACAGATGGGCTACTACATCCAGATAATAGTTTGTTTGTTTGGTTTTTTTTAAAGATTTATTTATTTATTATGTATACAGTGTTCTGTCTGCATGTGTGCCTGCAGGCCAGAAGAGGGCACCAGACCTCACTACAGATGGTTGCGAGCCACCATGTGGTTGCTGGGAACTGGACTCAGGACCTCTGGAAGAGCAGTCAGTGCTCTTAACCTCTGAGCCACCTCTCCAGCCCCCCAGATAATAGTTTTTAAAGTCACATAACCATCACCATTAAATGAGAACTTACCACCCTAAGAGAAACCAGCCCAGGAGCAATTTCTCCATTTTCCTTTCCTAGAAACCTAATGGTGCTTTTTGTAGCTGCAGACTTAAACAACATGGCACCTCACCAGCAGGAACTCAGTGTCACCCTTTGACCTTTGACCTGTTAGCATAGTTTTGAGGTTTACTGTTGTTTTTAGTATTTTTTTTTTTAAAGTACATTTACTTATATTGGGTGTGCAAGTGGCATCTTACACTTGTGGGTGTCAGAGCACAACTTTTAAGAGTCAGGTTCCTCCCTCCATCACTTTGATTCTGGCAAGTGAACTCAGGTCATCAGGCTTGGGAGCAAGCATTTTTGCGGGCTGCGCTTTCTTGCAAGCTCCACTGTAAATTTTTTGTTTGTTTGTTTTTCGAGACAGAGTTTCCCTGTTTAGTTTTGGTGCCTATCCTGGATCTTGCTCTGCAGACCAGGCTGGCCTCGAACTCACAGAGATCGGCCTGCCTCCGTCTCCCGAGTGCTGGGATCAAAGGCATGCACCACGACCACCACCACCACCACCCGGCAAATATTTTTAAGCATATGACTCGGCAGCATTAGACACACTTCCATTGGTGTCCACCATCATACTGTCCCTCCGTGGAACTTATTTACTATTTTTTAAATTGTATTTCAGTGGAACTATGAAGGTTATAGAAGTTACTGTAAATGAAAAGCTTAGAAGAGTGCACAGTGTAGAGAAGATGGTCAATGTTTATTGATTTAATAAGCTTATGGCTCAAGCCATTATGCTGATGGCTGGTGTTTCAGTGTCTACTGTAGCTTACAGGAAAGGGCACAGCTATTTATTCATACTCAAACTCAAAGCTGGAATGCCCCGGCATGGAAGGAAGAGCTTACAAACAGAAAGACAGGCTATTAGGTTTTCATTTTAGTACATTTAAATCAATATACAGCAGAAGGCTAGCATAGTCGAGGCAAAAAGGAAAATATAAAAAAGCTAGACATGGGGGCTCAATGCCTGTAACCTAAGTGCCTGGGAGGTGGATGCAGGAGGATTCGGAGTCCACAGTCATCCTGGTCTACGGCGTGAGTTCAAGGCTGCTGTGGGCCACCTGCCTTGTCTCCGCAGCCCTCCCCCGGAAAAAGGAGAAGAGACAGAAACAGGGAGAGAAATGTTCACCACTCACGATTTCAGAGCACACTCTCCCGAATTCTTCCAAGAAGGCCTCTGTCGTCATCTCTCCTCTCATAAACCTCATCCAGGGTCCGCTGTCGCCGTCTCTGATCAAGGCCTTCACTATGGTCCCAGAAGGAACACGATTCTGCACCTCCCACTCTGTAGGACACAACATTCACAGAATGAGGAACAAGAAATGGCTGGGGCATGGGGAGCGTGGGAGTGACTGCCCCCCACCCCCACCCCAACCCCCGGTCCTGTGGCATCACTATGGTGGCTGCAGGTGCTCCTGGGATGTCTGGACTCTCACTTTGACATCAGGAGGGTGCAGGACCTAACACAAACAGGGTGCAGGGCTGCTCTGGGCCCAGCCCCACTTCCGTATGACTTTCCTGCAGAGGCCAGAAAAGGACATCAGGTCCTCTGTAGCCGGAGTGGCAGGTGGCTGTGAGCCATGGGGCTGGGAATGGAACGCAAGCCCTCTGCAGGAACAGAAGGTGCGCCTGACCACCCAGCCATCTCTCCAGCCCCTATCTTGTGTTTTGAAGCACCTTTTCTGAGAAAGTGGAGCCCGCGTCTTGAGAATACTTGGCAATATGGGAAGGTAGACAGAGAGAGAGACGCAAGGGCCAGCTTCAGAACCGTTGTCAGGGGAACGTACGCACGCAGAGCACAGCGAGGCCTCACACGCAAGGCTTCCTTAGCGCCGAGCACTCTGAAGGGCACAGCCTTTCTGTGCGTCCCAGAGCTGGCAAGCACTGGCACCCTCATGTGCTGGCCTCGGATGTAAACAAGAACAGCCTCTGGAAAGCAATTTGGCAGTTTCGGTCAAAATTCCTCAATGCGTGTTTGATGGCTTCATTTCACTTCCAGGAATTTCTTCCAGGTATATTCACAAAGCAGGAGAAGGTTCTGTACAAGTGCACGGCATTGCTGGTAAAGGAGAGTTTGCAAGGTTCGTGTGTATGGACACAGGGCTGGTCAAGTCAGTTATGATTATGGCTCAGGGGCCACATCAGTCTCTCTGGCTTCTCGGGTTTTGTTTCTTCACTGAGATGGAACACGAAGCGAGCATCCTATGAGAGGTGCACCCTAGCCTCCTTCCTACCCGCTGAGTCTTCCTGGAATGCAGCCATACCTGTGCTTAGGTGACTAGCTCAGAAACTCACTCGTGGCAGACGTGGTACAGCTCATAAAACTGACCCAGTCCTCCAAGGAAGAGCTTGCTCACCCTGGGAGTAAACCTACGCCTACTGACGTGAACGTGCATGGAAGGGGAAGGGCAGGGGGCGAGGCGAGGGCTCCATGTAGAGTGTGTGCTTAGCACGTACAGGACCTGCCCAGATCCCAGCACCATGAAAAAGAAAAGCTGGGGCTGGAGAGATGGCTCAGTAGTTAAGAGCACTGGCTGCTCTTCCAGAGGTCCTGAGTTCAATTCCCAGCAACCACATGGTGGCTCACAACCATCTATAATAAGATCTGACATGCAGGCAGAACACTGTATACATAATAAATAAATTTAAAAAATCTTTAAAAAACAAAAAAAGAAAAAGAAAAGCTGGCAAAATAGCCTACCAGGTAGAGAAAAAAGGGAGAGAGCAGTCTCTACAGGATGCTCTAATGTGTGCATGCATGTACACATTTTCTACCACATTGTCCGGTGTCGATGGATAAGGTCATAGATACAAGTGTTCTCAGGGAAAACAAGAAACTTTTCTCAGTGTAACTACTCACAGAATTCTGAGACCAACTAGAAACGGAGGGCACAGCAGCAAGTTTCCTTTGCACTTACATGCTCTCCCTTATTTGTGTGTGTGTTTGCACACACATGTGAACTCAGGGAGACAACCTCTGGTGTCATCCTGGGGAATGCCATCCATCTCCTTTAAGGCAGGGCTCGCCCTGACTGGAGCTCACTAATCAGGCTAAACTGGCTGGCTATCCAGCCCGGGGATCCTCTGGCCTCTGCCTACCCCATGCGGGGATCACCAACACAGGCCACCACACTCAGCATTTTCCCATGGATTCCAGGGACATAGCCCAGAGTCTCGTGCTTCTGAGACAAGCACCTCACCTATCGAGCCCCCTCCCCAGCCACACACTCAATATTCATTTAGCCTGAGTAGGAAATAAATGAGGTTGGTACAATCGGGTCTATAGCCCAGGCTGACCTCCAACTCACTCTGTAGCCCAGGTTGGCTTTGAACTCTCAGTGATCTTCCTGTCTCAGTCTACCAAATGTCAGTATTACAGATATGAACCATATCTGGTTAGAAAAGAATTTCCTTGTTGTTTTGGTTTTTTGAGACAGGGTTTCTCTGTGAAGTTCTGGCTGTCCTGGATCTCGCTCTGTAGACCAGGCTGTCCTCAAACTCACAGAGATCCGCCTGGCTCTGCCTCCTGAGTGCCCGGCTGGATTTGCCTCTTTCTTCACTCAGTTCAGCTTAAATGAGTTAGTTAATCTCTAAGGGTTAGAAATGATAAACATAGACTTGTGCTGGGTTAGTTTTATGTTGAGTTAATTCAAGCTAGGGTCATCGGGGAAGCAAGAACCCCAGTTACGAAAATGCCTCCATCAGACTGTTCTGTGAGTGTGGGAGTTTGAAAGAAAATGGCCCCCAAAGGCAGTAATGGGAGGTGTGGCCTTGCTGGAGTAGGTGTGGTCACTGTGAGTCACTGTAAGTGAGCTACCCAATTGGATGTTTTCCTTTGTAAGAGTTGCCGTGGGCCGGGCAGTGGTGGCACACGCCTTTAATCCCAGCACTCGGGAGGCAGAGACAGGCAGATCTCTGTGAGTTCGAGGCCAGCCTGGGCTACAGAGCGAGATCTAGGACAGACACCAAAACTACACAGACAAACCCTGTCTCAAAAAACCAAGAGTTGCCGTGGTCATGGTGTCTCTTCACAGCAGTAGAAACCCTAACTAAGATAAGTTGGTACCAGGGACTGGGACCATGTTTTTATTTAGAAGAATTTGGACTTTGGAATTTGGGTTAGGAAACAGTGGAATGCTTTAAGCAGTGCTTAATGGGCCATACTAGTAGGAACAGGGAAGACAGTGGTGCTAAGAGTGATTTGAACTCTGGGGGGATGGCTAGCTCAAGAGGATTAAGAGGAGAAGGCTAGTCTGTTGCCTAGAAATCGTTCTTGGGATATTTTGGGAAAGAATGTGATTAATTTTTTTTTTGCCCTTGTCCAAAAAGTTTGCCTGAGACTAAAGTGAAGAGTTTTGAATTAATTCCCTCGGCAGAGGAAATCTCAAAAGAGCCTAGTACAGACTCTGTTGTATGGTTACTAGTGGTAACTCTAGTGAAGACATAGAATGAAAAGAGTAAGCTGAGCAAACAAAAATACAAAACGTACAGATTGAGAACAGGGGCACCAGGAAGTGGAATGGAGCTGAATCCTGTGTCCAAGGAGACAAACAGATTAAGAAATGGAATAAAGTGAGTGGTAATCTCAGGGTAAGATCCCACCCAGCTAAGTTTCCAACTTTTGAAAAGGAATTAAAGAAAAGATTAGAGCCGGGTGTGATAGCTCACACCTTCAATCCCAGCACTGGCAGATCTCTGAATTTGAGGCCAGCCTGGTCTACAGAGCAAGTTCTAGAATAGCCAAGCCTAGGCAGTGAAGGTGGAAAACAGAAAGCTGGTGACGATGTAATTGAACTTGAATGAGGGCATCATGTTCCACCCCTAGTAAGCACCAGAACTTGGCCGCTTCAGCCACATGGTTCTGGAGTTAAGGACAGAAGTAAGGGTTACAGAATCTCCATTCATGACTAAGAAAATTAGCTGATGCCAGGCATGTGTCAGGGGTATCCTTGAATGGAGGCCTAGAGAGGTCATTGAGTGAAGCTGTGAAGTTGAAGCCTGATTGCCTTGGAGACCCCACGATGTTGGAGATGCCAGAGACAGGGGATACCTGCCGAGGAGAGCTGCTAACAGGGAGTGGAACCAGCCCCAGAGAAAGAAGTGTGCTGCAGTCAACGAAGCTGAAAAGAATTGGCGATCTGACGAGCGTTTGACATCAGACATGGAGATGCAGAGTTTGGAGTTTGCCCAGCTGGGAGTTGGTCTTGCTTTGGTCCATTACTTCCTCCCTATGCCCCCTTTCCTACATTTTGCAATGGTGATGGATATCCTGAGCCATTATGTGTTGGAAGCGTGCGATCTAATTTTTTATTTTAATTTTACAGGGGATTACAGGTAAGAGATTGCATGAATCTCAGAAGAGACTTTGAACTTTAGACCTTTAAATAAGTTGGAGACTGTTGTAGACTATGGGGACTTTTGAAGTTGGACTGAGTGCATTTTTGCACTATGATATGGCTACAAGGCTTTGGGGGCCAGGAAGTAGAATGTGGTGATTTGAACGAATGGCCCCCAAAGGGAGTGGCACTAACGGGAGGTGTGGTTTTATTGGAGGAAATGTGTCACTATGGAGGCGGGCTTTGAGGTCTCATATATATGCTCAAGCCAACAGCAGCATCTCAGACCACTTCCTACAAGATGTTGAACTCTCAGCTACCTCTCCAGCATCATGTCTGCCTACACGTTGCCATGGCCCATCATGATGATAATGGACTGAACCTCTGAACCATAAGCCATCCCAATGAAATGTTTTCCTTTATAAGAGTTGCCGTGATCATGGTGTCTCTTCAAGGCAATAGAAACCCCGCCTGAGACAGCAGGCAAGTCTGTGGGGGCGTTTTCTAAACTAGTGACTGATGTAGCAGGGCCCCGCCCACTGTAAATGGTGCCACCTCTGGGCTGATGGTCCACTGCTTCGGTTCCTGTCTTGAGTTCCTGCTCTGACTTCCCTCCATGATGGACTCTGCCTGGGACACGGAAGTCAAATAAAGCCAACTCCCCACCACCCCAAGTTGCCTTTGGTCATGGCATTTATCGCAACAATTAGAAGCGGGTGAAGACGGGACCGCAACAAGAAACCTGTTTTCCTTGCATTGAAAACCCAAGTGTGTGGTCCACGGCAAGCAGGGGAGGGGCCCTGGGACCTTTGGGTTCTCCTCTCCTCCCCTCTTCCTCCATGTTTTCCTGCAGTGATGCGAACGGACGCAGGGCCTTGTGAGTGCCGGGCCAACACTCTACCGCTGAGCTACATCCCAGCCCCAGGACTGGACCCCCAGGTGCTTCATGTGTCTTTTCCGTTCAAGCCGGGGCATAGTCAACCAAAGCCTGTGCCAAATCTAACCGCTGCCGGTTTTGCTATGGCCGGTTGGCCTGAAAACGGCTTTACCTTCCGAGGAAGCAGAAAAATAACACAACAAAATGAGTGCGGTGTGACACGTGAAAATCCATCCCATCAGCGCCTGGGGGACTGCAAACCACGGCTTCACTCGCCGCCATCCCTGGCTGCTCTGGTTCTCTAGTGGCAGCCATTCAGGCGTTTGCAGCAGAAACCTGATGGCTTTACCTTCCGGCTCCTTTTTGGAAACCCTAGGCAGTCTTTGACTTACGCTGTGAGCTCACAACGAAGTCATGCGGTGTACAACAAAAACCCCAGAGCACACAAAGGCTTGAGCGTGGGCTGTGGGGAGGTGCAGGGATGCACCAGGACAGCTTCAGTTTTGTAGCTTCGATGGTTGAGAATCTCGCTTGTGTGCTTTCCCTCTATCTATTACTTGTTTCGCTCATTTTGAGGGAGGAAAGGCTTACTTGGCTCACAGTTTCCGAGGCTTCAGTTCATGGGCAGGAAGGCATGGTAGAGCCCAACAGCTCACATCATAGCAGCCAGGGGGAAGAGAAAGCTCCATGTGTTATTTCTTTAGAGACAAGGTTTCATATAGATAGCCAAGGCTGCCATTGAACTAGCCATTTGGCTGAGGATAACCTTGAACACCTGATCCTTCTGCTTCCACCTCCCAAATGCCACACCAGGTTTATAAGAAGCTAGGGATTGAACCCAGGGATTTGTGCATGCCAGGGAAGCGCTCTACCAACTGAGCTACAGTTTGTTTGTTTGGTTGGTTGGTTTTTTGAGACAGGGTTTCTCTTTGTAGCTTTGTGCCTTTCCTGGATCTCGCTCTGTAGACCAGGCTGGCCTCGAACTCACAGAGATCTGCCTGGCTCTGCCTCCCGAGTGCTGGGATTAAAGGCAAGCGCCACCACCGTCCAGCCGAGCTGCAGTATTTTTTGTAGACCGTATCATTTAACTTTCCCCCGAGTCCCAAGGAAGGAGGGCCTGTTATTAGCCCTAATTCGATGACAAGGCAACAGAGGCTCAGAGAAGTCGAATAATTTGCATTAAACACTGCCATTAACCAGAGCTTAGAATTTGACTCCAGGGCCTGCCTGTCTCCCCTACCACCCCCTTTTCCTACTTCAAACCCCCCCCAAAGGGAAAGAGCAACAAGCTTACCAGCAGCCACTGTCCCTGGAGAAGGCACGAGAACTCCCCCCATGTCAAAAATGACGGCTCTGTAGCTGCGGCCTCCAGAATGTGTCCAGCGTAGGGCTCCCTGCTGCCTGCCCAGGGTACTTTTCATGGCAGCCGTCCTCCATGCCCAGTGGAGAGCAGAAGGCTGGAAAAGCCTCCTTATGCTCATGGTGAGGCTGAGGCTGTGTGGGAAGAAGGTACAAGGAGCTTGATCGAGCTTCCATCCAGGCTCTATCCCCGACTCTGGGTGCCACCCGCATGTCTCCGCTGATGCCCGATGGACACTCGAGCCCCACCCACAGCTGGCCTCAGTGACTTCGCCAAGGTGCCCTTCACCCCTCAACATCTGTATCCATAGAAAAAGGGTGTTGATCCCCGACTCTCCTTAATCCCAACGTAGCTGGCTCAGCTCTGCCTGCTCTTCCTCCCGAGCATCTCCATGCCCAGGCTTCCGTCACTGCAGCAGTCCCTTCAGGGACGCTGACGGCCCCTCTGCCTCCTCGCAAACCTCCTTCCCACCTTCCTCCCCCGTCAGCCAGAGGAACCCTTCAGAACTGCAGATGTGATCACACGTGACCCCGTTTTCCCTTGGTTTTCAGAGACAGGGTTTCTCTGTGTAGCCCTGGCTGTCCTGGAGCTCGCTCTGTAGCCCAGGCTGGCCTCCAACTCAGGTTTCTGCCTGCCTCTGCCTCCAGAGTGCAGGGATTAAAAGCGTGCGCCACCACGCCTGGTTTAATTAACCCCATTTAAAACCTTCACTGGAGATGCTGAGGCAGGACTGGTGGAGTTCCAGGCCAGCCCGGGAAAACTTAAAGAACCTGTGTATTAGTAACCATTTCCGTTGCTGTGACCCACTCCCTAACAGAAACAGCACAAGGGAAGGATTTGTTCTGGCGCACGGTTTCAGAGACATCAGTCCATGGCTGCAGGGCTCCATGCACTTGGCCAGAGCATCATGGTGGCAGGAAGCATGACAGAAAAGAGGCATCTGCTTCATGGCCAAGCAGGACACAGACAGAAGGAATATAGGAAATGGCCAGGGCAAGAGGCCAGGACATACACCAGTGACTGGCTTCTTCCGGCTGGGCCCCACCTCTCTAGATTCATCAGCTCCCAACAACGACATCACATTATGAATCCGTCAGGGGTCAATCCACTGATTGGGTCCAGAGCCCTCAGAAGCATACTGTCTCTGGATCCTTTCACCAGAACACCAAGTTTCCTAACTTTCGAGGCCTTCTTAATCAAGCATAAGAAATGAGGCTTTCATTGGGGTTTACTGATGCACACCTTTCATCTTAGCACTGGGGAGAAGAGGCAGGGGATCTCTGTGAGTTCCAGGCCAGCCAGGGCTACCTAATGAGGCCCTATCTTAAACAAACCAACCAACAAACAAACACACCCCAACTAGAAACAAAGGAACTCACCAACACACAAAAAACTAAAAACCTGAAAAAGGAATCTTTTATCTCCTTTATTTTTGAGATGGGTCTTGCTCTGCTACCCAAGCAATCCTCCTGCCTCAGCCTCCCCAGGTATCTGCTATGGCAGGCACATAGCGACCTCTCTACCCAGCTAACATAAGACTCTATAGTGGTAAATATTAAAAATGGCATCATGTACTTATTAATCAAAAATCTGACCCGCCAGGCATCTGCACTCAGGTGAACACACACACACACACACACACACACACACACACACACACACACACCTAATCAAAAATTATGTTTTTTAAAATTAATTTACTCAGCTGGGGGGGTGGGGTGGCGCACACCTTTAATCCCAGCACTCGGGAGGCAGAGGCAGACTGATCTCTGTGAGTTCAAGGCCAGCCTGGTCTACAGAGCGAGTTCCAGGACAGCCACCAAAACTACACAGAGGAAACCCTGCCTCGGAAAACCACCGACAAAGCAAACCTGAAGGCTGCTGAGCTTCCTTTCAGTATCACTTCGCTCCATGCCAAGGTCAAAGTCTATGCAGGCTGCGATGACGGGCTTCTGCTACCACCCCTGGGGGTGCGTGGACTGCTGGGAACTCGACTCTGGCCTTTGTACACGCTAGGCAAGCACTCCTGGCATGCCTCCGGGCCTTGGCACCTGCTGCGCTGGCAGACCAGAGCCCTTTCCCCTACTTCGCCTGCCTGGTGAATTTCCACACCTCAGCCTCACCTTCTTCTCTGCAGATTTTACGTCTTTTTGTAAGACTCTGGCAGTTCCATACCTTTAGTGCGGTGTTTACCCCCATCACAGGGTAACTGCCCTCTCCATCTGCTCCTATAGCAAAGCTCCGGAAGGCAAGGCCTGTCTTAAGCATCCTTTAGACATCCACCCCCTGGGGCTTGGGACTGATTCTGGAGTCAGAGCGGCTCCTCGGGATCAATGAGCTGAAGGATGACTAAAGAGGCTAGACCAGAGAACGGCAGGGAGTGGTGATGTGTGACCGAGCAAGAGAAGGCAGAGGCAGGACACCCTTGAATGCCGCCTTAGAAGAAGGAGAGGGGGGCTGGAGAGGTGGCTCAGCAGTTAAGAGCACTGACTGCTCTTCCAGAGGTCCTGAGTTCAAGTCCCAGCACCCACAGGGTGGCTCACAAAGCATCTGTAATGAGATCTGGTGCCCTCTTCTGACCTGTAGTCATATATGCTGTATACAAAATAAATAAATCTAAAAAAAAAAAAGGAGAGGGATGGACTGATGCAGGGAGGGAGGGAGGGAGAGGCTAGGGACACACTACAGTGGCTGACAGCCACAGAGCTGGGACAGCTTGTCCATTCCTGGCTGACGATGCTAGCTCTGGAACTGTCACCTTTTATACCCAAAAGATTTATTGCCCCCTTGTCAACCAGAGTGATGACGTTCGAATAATGTAGACTTACTGAATTATAATTTCATAAACAGCCACACAGCGCATTGTTAAATATTACAGAGATGGTTTGAGCAAAGACATAAACTGACCTGGGGTGACTTTCTGGTTTCAAATTCCGGCTCTGCTACCTAGTGAGAGTGAGCTTCTAGGCACAATACTCTATCTGCGCCTCGGGCGTCTCCTCTGTAAAATGGGGGCAATTACAGTACCTATTGCAAAACAGGGTCCCCATGGCCCGAGGTAAAGAATGTAAAGCTATCAAGTTAGTAAGGGGCCTTCCATTTTATCTCCCACCTGAGCTGGGGGTGTGCCTCAGCACCAGGGCATGTGCTTAGCATGCCAAAGGCCACAGGTCCATCCTCAGCACCATAAAAGGCATGGTCTATGTGGATGGCTTGTGCACGTCTACATATGCTAGGGACGGTCCACAGGGGGGTGATCTGGACCCCAGAGGGGACATCTGCTAACATCTGGCACATTTTTGTTGGTCACCAGCAGGAGAGAGGACTACGGACATCTGGGGTTCACAGACAGACATGTGCCCTGAAAGGGTTATCAGGGCCCAAAAATGTGAGCAGAAGTTGGGGGGCCCAGGCATTCACAGGGTGTGAGACACAGTACACAGGGTCTAGCATAAGCTCTTCTACATATCGTTGTGTTCTTGTCTCAAACACAATTTCTGTAGTTTTCTCTCACATTTCATACATTATAGCATATACATAGAATAGTAACCTGTCACTTTTTTCCACATATGCACTGATTTTAGCTGGCTTCTCTCTCTCTCTCTCTCTCTCTCTCTCTCTCTCTCTCTCTCTCTCTCCTTGTGTGTGTATACTGAATATTGAACGCAGAGCATGTACCCCAAGCATTCTACCACTGAAGCACATTCCTCAGTGTGTCTGTGTGCTCACTATGGCAACTGCATGGAGGACAATTCTTGAGTTCTATCCTGCTACCTTGTCTAGCACAAAGCCTTCAGCAGAAAGCCCCCAACCCCAGCACTGGGGAGGTGGAAGAGGCAGGAGGATCAGAAGTTCAAGGACATCCTCTGTAACATACAGAGTTCGACCAGCCTGCGCTACACCAGTCCCTGTCTCAAAACAACCAAACAACAAAACCAAATTCAGCCACAACCTGTAGTCTTCCCAGCTTATCCCTCCTGTCTCCACACACAGCGTTTCGTTTCACACAAACGTGCGGTGTTACGCCACGACTAGCTCAGATGGCACAAGAGCTGAAGGTCAACCGGCCAGGGTCTGTTTTCCGTGTCTGCAAAGGTATCCCACAAAGTCCGCAGTGTCAGGCTCTAGTGAGTGGTCATCTGTGAAGCCCCTGCGCTCTTAACCATCCCATCGCCATACCTGCATAAAGTTAAGACCCTGAGGTCCAAGACCCAAGAAATCAAAAAGCCCGGGAGAACCCTGCCGGAGCGTGGGCGGGACGCAAGAAGCGAGGGGTCGAACGCTTCTTGCGTTGTTTCGTTCCAACAATCTCCGTCCAGCCAAGTTTTAGCTTCGGGCGGCGGAGGGCGCATGCGCGCCGGGGGGCGGGGCCGCGCCTCCTTCCTCC